CATGTGCATGTGTGAGATATGTCATCATAACGTTTTTAATCAGCGTGCTGACATCTCAACGACAGATTCCTGGTCTGAATCCAAAAACAAGGTGGTGGTGTCTGTCTCAAATTCTTTTTCAGACTTATTTTTCCCGTCATCTTACAAGATCACGTATCCAACTGTCACTATCTGCTTTTCAGCAGACAAAGTGGGTAAAGACAGCACAACTGCTGCATGTTGACAGAAAAAGAACACAACACATGTTCTGTCCTGTGTTTATATATCTATGAACATTTTTTCTTCCATTGTTTTAAGGAGAGCAGATGAAGGTAATGGACATAAAAATTAAAAACAATGCGGGAAAAATGGTTGAAAAACTTTTCATCTAATGTAACATAATTCATCTAAAAGGATCTTTTCTTTGGCTTAGCAAGCCACAAAGACCTCTGTGATTCTCAAAGTGCTTGATTTACCATTCACTTGGGTGCAGTAAAGCTTTAACAACGATAAAACTGTAAATAGGAAAGATTACATCAAATATGCCTGTCAGCCACACACACTCCCCAAACACATTCAAATCCAACCCATACCTTGGATAGCACTGGACCTGACTGCCTACAGTTACTATTCTGTGAACAACGCAGCGAAAAATAAAATGTAAGTTGTAGGACGCAGTTGAATTCCGAATGATCCTTTATTCTTTTGATACCTAAAGACCTTCGATCAATTCAATTTCATCACTTATTTGAAATCATGTCAAAGTTCTAGCAGAAGTGCCCAGATGTTCTTTTCCAAGGTCATTACCTCCAGCTGTTTTTTCCCAGGCCATCAAAGAAACATAGTAAATGGTAAACTGGTTCTTATATAGCACTTTTCTACTCTTCTGAGCACTCAAAGCACTTTACACAACTTGTGCATTCACCCAAGCACATTTTCTTAATTTACACACAGATTCATACTACAATGGATGCATTGGAGAGCAATTTGGTATCTTGCCCAAGGATATTTGGCATGCAGACGAGGGGAAGCCAGGAATCGAACCACCAACCTTCCGATCAGTAGATGACCTGCTCTACCGCCTGAGCTACTTGATTCAATTCATCCATCCATTCGCTTCCGCTTATCCTTCTCAGGGTTGCAGGGGGCACTGGAGCCTATCTCAGCTGTCATAGGACGAGAGGGTACACCCTGGACAGGTCGCCAGTCTGTCGCAGTGCTAACACACAGAGACAGACAACCATTTGCACTCACATTCACTCCCGCATTCACACCTATGGACAATTTGGATTAATCAGTTAACCTATCCCCACAAACTGCATGTCTTTGGACGGTGGGACTAAGCCGGAGTACCCGGAGGGAACCCACGCAAACACGGGGAGAACATTCAATTCATTTCAGTTCAATTCAATTCAATTTATATAGAACCAAATCACAAAAACAGTTGCCTCAAGAGGCTTTGTATTCTAAGGTAAAGACCCTAAAATACTACAGAGAAAACCCCAACAATCAGATAACCCCACTCTCTTTTAACAGAAAGCAGATGTCTTTGATTTGTCTTCCTCCCCTCACCCCCAACCGGTGGTAGCAAAGTCTGCCCCTCCCTAAATTTCTGGTTCTGCCAGAGGTTTCTTCCCGTTAAAAGGAAGTTTTTCTTCCCACTTTCTCCAAAGCCTTAGCTAATAGGGGGTTATCTTATTGTTGTCTAAATTTTTAGGGTCTTTATCTTACAATATAAAGCCCCTTAAGGCAACTGTTGTTGTGATTTGACATTACGAATAAAATCAAATTAAAATGAATTGAAGAAAACTCCAGCACAGCCAGGCTCATGGAGGTACAGCCATCTGTTGTGACTGGTTGGGGAGGGGTAAGAAAGGAAGACTGAACCAAAGAGACAATGTGGAAGTCAGCCAGAGATTAACAATAACTAATGATGAAATACGATGCTGTGTCCCAAAAGGTTGATTCTGTTCATCTGGACGTGGCGTTTTCAGTGGGAGAAACGTTTCGTCACCCATCCAAGTGACTTCTTCAGTCTCAGCTGACTGCAGGTTTCCCCAATCTTATAAACAGTACATTTGCATAATGACTGAAACCAGCCCACTGAAGGAACAATGGGCTGTGAGGTCAGTTCCTTGATCATTAGATTAAGGTGAAGAAGAAGAAGAAATGCTCAGTGCACCATGGGAAACCCCCAGCAGCCTAAGTCTATTGGGACGTACCAAGGGAGGGTTCAGTGTCACCTGTCATCCAATCCTTACTATAAGCTTCATCAAAAGGGAAAGTTTTAATCTTAAATCTAGAATAAAGGCTGTCTATCTCCCAATTCCAAAGTGGAAGCTGGTTCCACAGAAGAGAGGTACTTTTAAATACCCTCCTTCCCATCCTGGAGAGGCCATCCACAGTTTCTCAGCTGAGAACCAGAGACTCAGACTCTGAGCTGCTAATTGTCAGCCACCACACACAAGTGGATCCTGTGTGAAAGTGAGTTTACTAAAACTCACATCCTCTGCCTCTTCATGGCTCCTAAAAATTCTGTCCATAAAAGTTGTAAACAGGGTTAGTTGCACCAATAATACTTTAATAATTATAACAATTACTGAGTAGTATTCCAAGCACATTACTTTTTTATTCCTAGGTTGCAGACGATAAGGCAGAACACAAACTTGGGGGCAAATGCCACAGAACCAAACCAATCTGGTTTGGTGGTTTTGGCTTGTGCTCTGGAAACAGAAGGTGCTTTTAAAAACAGAGTCCAACAGTAAGGCAAATCTTTTTTTTCAACACTGAGATTTTTTTCCCACTCATGCTAAGTTCTCATTAAATTCTGTTGGCCTGCTCCTTGACCAGCTCTTTAGGTTAACTGTGTTAACACATGTCTGGATTCATCTGCAGCTGAATTTGTTAAAATCCTTAAAGACAGCTGTGACAGCTGTGACAGCTGTGACGTAAACTGTGGTTCAAATTATCCTTAAAAGGGTCTGGTGTGTCTGCCCCATGGTAGACACTGAAGTGAAAATGGAGACATTATGACAACATTTTCTATGGTTTCAATCTGTAAATCCACAGCATGTGTTCTTAAACCTGTGCTCTATCCAACTCTGTGCCATTGGTTTGGCTGAGGTTTCTGTGGCAACCCTGCAAAAATTAATAGCTGAATGGTTAAAGGCTCTGGAAGAGAAGTCATGTTTCCAACACTGTAGGCATTGACTGAAGCTGAAAGACTGAAGTTACAAAATATGTGCTACAAACATTCTCGGGACTAGTCTGGCTT